CCCCCCCCCCCCCCTTTCTCCTGCTACTCCTCTTCACGGATTCCGTCAGCAGTCTTTTCTTGGAATCCGATTTCCAAGAGACAACAGTTTGCGAGCACGCACCCGACGGTGCAGAAGCTGAACGTCCTCCTGTCCAAGTTGCTGGTGCTGCAAGTCCTCCCTTTCCAAGTGGTGGACTCAGCACCTTTCCGAGAAAATGATGGCTTGTGCCGAGCCGCGGTGGAGAGTGCCAACGCCGCATTTCTTCGCCAAAAAAGGCAGTGCCCCCTGCATTCACATGTAGAAGAGATGGTGGGCCAGTCTTTGAGCATGTCGGTCTCTGCCAAAGTGCACGGCAGCGCCGAGTGTGGAGCTGTAACTACGGTCAGGGACAGTACATGTCATTTACGGCCCACTGGTGAACGTGGTGCCGGCACAGCCGCACCAGCAACTTGGACAGGTCACTTCCGCTTTTGCCTCCACGTTTGCACGTCCTTGGCTCCAGCAAAGATGTCCGCCTCTACCACCTCTTCTTCCGCCGTGTCCTCTCAGCCGCCACCCCCCCCGTGCCAAGTCCCATTACCCGACCGGCATATCACATGTGCAGGGCGCAACGGTGTCACGCTGTGCTGCACCTGGTATGCCTTGGCGACGTAGTCACACAGGGAGGAACTTCTGAGTGTAATGAACAGAGAAATCGAAGATGGCTGTCTCCGCACAAACTGAAAATCGGAACCATGTTGACCGACACGGAAAGAACATGGTGTCTGCTCTGCGTCAAGGAAGGTTGTGCCATGCGCCATGCATGGCTCACGTGTTTCAATCTGGTTGTCAAGCGGTTCCTAAATCCACCATCCCACTGCAAGACATCCTTAAAATGTCACGTAAAACTTTGCATGCATTTCAGCCATTCCTACACCGCAAAGCACACCCCTTGAGCTGCAGCGGCAGAACGGAATTCCACAGCATCGCCTGATCTGCGACGTTGCAACAAGGTGGAATTCAACCCTACACATGTTAGACCGCCTTTACGAAAAGCGAAAGGCCATCACGATTTCTGATGTTACAAGCGGATAAAGGTACTCCCCTGTGTAACTTAGATGTCAGCCATTGGCCAGCTTATGCGTGACACCTGCCGCTTGCTCAGGCCCTTTGAGGAGGCCACGCTATTTCGTGAGTCGGCAGGACTATGGGATGAACGACGTCATTCCTCTGTTGCACGTCCTGGAACAAATGCTGTTAACAATGGCTGGTCAGGGTGCGGTAGACGTGGCGCACAGATCTCAACGCCACATGACCCCTGTGGGGGCAGGACAGGAAAAGAGGAGGATGGTGTAGAGGAGGACATGGTGCTCAGGAATTATTGAGTGAAATGGGTGGTTTTTCCACTCAGCGGACAGGAAGTGGAGGAGCAGGAGCATCTGGTAGAGGAGGAGGAGAGGAGACAGAGGACCAGACGCACCGTGGGCAGTATGCTGTGGAGATGGAGGCAGGGAGTCCCTCGCATTCCTTGGCACAAATGGCCAGCATAGCATGCTCGGTTGCTTGCGTAGCGACAGCCGAATAATAACCATCAGACAGAGGGATGACTTTTGGCTGTCCACCTTGTTGGACCCTCGCTACCGTTCAAAAATGGTGGCCTTTTCACTCCTGCTGAGAGGGAGGCCAAAATAAAGTACTATAAAAACCAATTTTAGTAGAATAGTTATTTGTGAGCCCACCAGAGTTAACTTACTCTATTATTAGTGTTAATTGTGTGCTTAAGTGAATATTAAATTATATTAACTATAAAAACCACCTATGTAGTCAGGTTGGTCTCTGCCTTTCTGCGCCAACGTCCATCCTCAGACACTGTGGGCCCTGTGCGCTCGCGTTCCGCTGCCATGGCAGCAGCAGGGAGGGGTGGGTGTGTATTAGGAGCAGTGGCAGCTCCACCAGCAGCGGCTGCCTCAGGCCTGCAGTCGATGATGAGTAGCTTTCTTCACCAGCGCAGTGAGGAAACTACTAACCAGCCGCAGCAGCAGCAGCATCAGGTGGACCTGGAGCAGGACCTCAAACAACAGGCTTGGGCCTACTTTGGACAGCACCCTGCCAACCGAGGTAGACAATCCCCTTGACTACTGGGCCAACGAAACTTGACCTTTGGCCCAACTAGCTGAATTTTGCCCTTGAAAGGCTGTCATGCCCGGCCAGTAGCGTGGCATCGGAGCGCGTGTTTTAGTGCGGTAGGAGGTATTGTAACTCCACGGAGGACACGACTGTCCACCCAAAGTGTGGAGAGACTCACGTTGTGAAAATGAATCAGGCGTGGATTAGTCTGGATTTCAAACCACCAGTTCCTGACACAACTGACTAAATCCGCCATGAATCATGCCCCAAACATGTTATTAGGGACAAATAGGCCGCTGTCTTTACAACTTTATAATTCCATGCAGTATATAGCCCTATCGGCCACTTTCTGGCATCCAGTTGCTGTAGCCCCCATCACCACACTGTGCCACGGGCCCCTGTACCGCCTTCTCATACTGCTGCCAGATCCATCCTCTGCCATGTGCGTCTTTGTCGTCTGCTCACGCTGCTGGGTTCCAGTTTTAAACCTAGGCCTGTGTATGGCTTCCGAATACTGCTGCATCCACCGCCACCCTGCGCCATGTGTCTCTGTCGTCTGCTCACGCTGCTGACGGCTTCCGCTTTTTAACCGAGGCCTGTGTTTGGCTTCCGAATACTGCTGCATCCACCGCCACCCTGTGCCATGTGTCTCTGTCGTCTGCTCACGCTGCTGACGGCTTCCGCTTTTTAACCGAGGCCTGTGTTTGGCTTCCGAATACTGCTGCATCCACCGCCACCCTGCGCCATGTGTCTCTGTCGTCTGCTCACGCTGCTGACGGCTTCCGCTTTTTAACCGAGGCCTGTGTTTGGCTTTCGAATACTGCTGCCTCCACCGCCACCCTGCGCCATGTGCCACTTTCAGGTCTCCTTACACTGTTGGTGGGTTCCATTTTGTGATAGGGTGCTGTATGGCCTTCCATTGCTGCTGCCTCCACCGCCACCCTGCGCCATGTGCCTATGTCGTCTGCTCACGCTGCTGACGGCTTCCGCTTTTTAACCGAGGCCTGTGTTTGGCTTCCGAATACTGCTGCCTCCACCGCCACCCTGCGCCATGTGCCACTTTCAGGTCTCCTTACACTGTTGGTGGGTTCCATTTTGTGATAGGGTGCTGTATGGCCTTCCATTGCTGCTGCCTCCACCGCCACCCTGCGCCATGTGCCTCTGTCGTCTGCTCACGCTGCTGACGGCTTCCGCTTTTTAACCGAGGCCTGTGTTTGGCTTCCGAATACTGCTGCATCCACCGCCACCCTGCGCCATGTGTCTCTGTCGTCTGCTCACGCTGCTGACGGCTTCCGCTTTTTAACCGAGGCCTGTGTTTGGCTTCCGAATACTGCTGCATCCACCGCCACCCTGCGCCATGTGTCTCTGTCGTCTGCTCACGCTGCTGACGGCTTCGCTTTTTAAAACCGAGGCCTGTGTTTGGCTTCCGAATACTGCTGCCTCCACCGCCACCCTGCGCCATGTGCCACTTTCAGGTCTCCTTACACTGTTGGTGGGTTCCATTTTGTGATAGGGTGCTGTATGGCCTTCCATTGCTGCTTCCTCCACCGCCACCCTGCGCCATGTGCCTCTGTCGTCTGCTCACGCTGCTGATGGCTTCCGCTTTTTAACCGAGGCCTGTGTTTGGCTTCCGAATACTGCTGCATCCACCGCCACCCTGCGCCATGTGTCTCTGTCGTCTGCTCACGCTGCTGACGGCTTCCGCTTTTTAACCGAGGCCTGTGTATGGCTTCCGAATACTGCTGCCTCCACCGCCACCCTGCGCCATGTGCCTCTGTCGTCTGCTCACGCTGCTGACGGCTTCCGCTTTTTAAACTAGTCCTGTGTATGTCTTCCGAATACTGCTGCATCCACCGCCACCCTGCGCCATGTGTCTCTGTCGTCTGCTCACGCTGCTGACGGCTTCCGCTTTTTAACCTAGGCCTGTGTATGGCCTTCAATTGAAGCTGCTTCTGCTCCGCCACTCTGCCATTGGACTCTTGATAGTCGTCTCCCCACGCTGCTGCTGGGGGGACTTTTTAACATAGGCCTCTGTATGGCCTTCAATTTTAGCTGCTTAGCTCCGCCACTCTGCCATGGGCCCCTGTACCGCCTTCTCATGCTGCTGCCAGGCCCGTAATCTGCCATGGGCCCCCGTACCGACTCCTCATGCTGCTGCCAGGCCCGTAATCTGTCATGGGCCCCTGTACCGCCTCCTCATGCTGCTGCCAGGTCCAGAGTGTGACATGGGTCCCTGTACGGCCTCCCATTGCTGCTGTCTCCATCGCCACACTCTGCCATGTGCCACTTTCAGGTCTCCTCACACTGCTGGTGGGTTCCATTTTGTCATAGGGTGCTGTATGGCCTCCCATTGCTGCTGCCTCCACCGCCACACTGTGGCTCCACACTCTGGTTTTGGCCCCGTGACTGCCCAAATGAGTGAAGTGTGCGGTGATTCTAAGATCGACGGCACTCATCTGCATGTCATACTGACTGACAGTATTATTTCTCTTCCCCAGCAGACTCCAAGGGCATTTAAATTAAAGGTACAGTGTTCTGCACTAATATAAAGGCTCTCTGAAGCCTAGAAACACCCTTTTTATAAGTTAAATTTGCAGCGAATATATTCGCCTCGAATCGAATTTATTCCGCGAATTCGGCGAATCAGCCGAATCGAATTTTTGAATAATTCGCTCATCTCTAATCATAAGTGAAAATTCACTTTGAAAATGAACGATGCTTCACTTCTTTCATAAATCACCCCACTGTGAGGTTGTGAAGTTATGTATAGATTTATGGTTTGCTTGGACTACGTTGTATGCACTACCTTGTATGTATTTGTGGTTGCATAGAGAGGATTGGATCACTGGGTGAATATACAAGCAGATTATACATAGAGACCCTTCCCTTTTGTAAGTAAACGATACATGCAAATCATAAGTTACACAAGGAGGATCTCAGGATTCATGACATCTGCATTTGTCTCATTCTTGCAGCTAGACGCCAGAAGAAAACACCAGAGAAGTCAACTGGAAATAAAGGTATAAAGTAACTGATGAGTAAGGCATGAAGGATAGTATGGGGCTGATTTACTAAAACTGGAGTATGCAAAATCTGGTCCAACTGTGCATGGTAGCCAATCAGCTTCTAACTTCAGCTTGTTCAGTTGAACTTTGATGAAGAAATCTGGTTTCTATGCAGAGCTGCACCAGATTTTGCACACTCCAGTTTTAGTATACCTCCCCCTATGTGTACTGGCACCAACCACACTCTTTATTTTTACAACCAGGATTCTCTAATTGTCTAATGTATTTACTATCCTTGCTTTGTGTTCCCCTCTCCACCTTTAGACTGTAAAGCTGAAATAGCCTTCTTGATTGATGGCAGTAACAACATTGGACAGCGCCGGTTCAACCTGCAGAAGAATTTTGTGGCTAAAGTGGCTCTCATGCTGGGAATTGGCACCGATGGGCCTCACGTGGGAGTAGTGCAAGCCAGGTAATATGTTTTGCAGATTACACAAGAAGAAGTCCACTGGATGCAATTTAGCATAATGATTGTGAAAGATGACAGACAGACCTTTTGCACTGCTTGTGTCTCATTTTCTTTTAACAGCGAACTGCCAAAGACAGAGTTCTTTCTGAAAAATTTCACCTCTGCAAAGGATGTCATGTTTGCGGTGAAAGAGATCAACTTCAAAGGAGGAAATTCCAACATAGGTTAGAAATAATAATGTTGAAAACAGAAAGTATGTAAAAAACTGTTTCATATTCAGGTTGCTTGAGGTGATTGTAGCCGTATTAGTGCATTTGTGACAGAAACAATTGAGTACTGTCCGTGATACTTTTTTTCTTTGCACTAACATACAATTTTGAGGACAAGCTTTCGGGGAATGTCCCCTCCTTCAGGTCAAAGCAGTACTGATGAAAGTTTTAGCAGAATGTTAGAAGAGATGTAGGGGATGTAAAAAAAAAAAGAGAACAGAGATAAGACACAGCAAAAGCAAAGTCTGGGGGGGGGAGACAACACTCACAGAGGCAGTCATGCTTGAGGTGATAGTCATAAAACTGTTGGATAATGGTTGAGGAATCCCATGTCCAAATTCAGGCCGTTATCTCTTGTGTCAAATAGAATTATCATTCTTAGTTCAAAGGTTTTCTTTCCTGAATGGATTTGAAATCTCCTTTAAGAACTAAAATATTGAGGTCTCCAAAGTGTAGCCTGGTTGTGCAAAATGGTGTCCCACAGGTGTGCAAAAGGCAAAAGTCAATTCTATGTGACACAAGAGATAACGGTGTCACGTACCTGATGGGAGACTGAAATGACGAGGTCGGCCTCACTTGCGTCACTAGCCCTGACCCCCACTGGAGTTGGAACAGAGGGAGTCTAGGACCCAGGGGAACAAGAGCACCATTAGTTGTTGTTTGCAGCTCTTGCAGATGATGACCTTGGAAGACCGATGATCTTCTAATCCAGGCACAGTAGTAACAAGCAGAGCAGGTCTTGTAGATTGCCAGGCATGCACCAGAGCAAGGCAGGTAGTGAGGGTAAGAGACAGGAGCAGTGTCATAGGAATAGCCAGGGTCATCAACAGTCGGGCAGCACGGTACAGAATCAGAAGGAAAGCCAGGGTCAGGAGCAGAGCCGAAGTCAGGAACCAGTATCAATCAGGAGAGCAATCAGAGTCAGGTGAGGAACAAGCCAGGTCAGCAACAAAGGAATCATACAGGAACAAGCAGGACACGGGGGAGCTGAAGACCAGTCAGCACTCAGCACATGCAGAGGCACTTCTTAAATAGTCCATCTGGTGCCAATCTTCACAATGCGTGTGCGTGAGCGTGCATTTCTGTGCACATGCGCACGTCTAGTCACCAGCCGTCTCATGGGAATTCCCTTACAAACGGCCTGAATTTGGACATGGGATTTCTCAATCATTATCCAACAGTTTTATGACTATCACCTCAAGCATGACTGCCTCTGTGAGTGTTGTCTCCCCCCCAGCCTTTGCTTTTGCTCTGTCTTATCTCTGTACTTTTTTTTTTCATCCCCTACATCTCTTCTAACATTCTGCTAAAACTTTGATCAGTACTGCTTGGATCTGAAGAAGGGGACATTCCCTGAAAGCTTGTCCTCAAAAATATATGTTAGTGCAAATAAAAAAAGTATCACGGACAGTACTCAATTTGTTCAGGGTGCAACATGTAACATTTGCGATCTGACCGGCTCCGCACCCCCCTCCCTCCACGATGCCTGATGTGACAGCTACTGGGGGAAAAAAAAGTGAATTTGTGTGACTTGCGAGCCAAATGCATTTCTCTCTAGTGGATCGCCAACATAAAACACATAACTTCAACTGTGTACATAAAATATTTCACCATTATATGTTGCGCTCCTAAATAACAAAAACATTTTTTTGATTCCCCTTAAAAAACAATATTATAAATATATAACCAATTTAAAAAATTAGTGAATCATCAAATCAATTTAGTATAATTAATAGTACCATCAATAAAAAATAAAAGTCCAATAATAGTGACTTGGTGATAATTGCTCTTCAATTTGTGACTTTTTTTTGTGAATCCTCCAATTAGTGAAGATGTATACCTAAAATGTAATGGTAAATGATGATATTTATAACCGATGCTATAAATATCATCATTTACCATTACATTTTAGGTTGCATCATGATCAAAAAGTAGAAAAAATAGAGTTTTGGGGTATAGTTAGACATAATCCACATTGGAGAGGTGACAACTTAATTCGTGAAATAAGTAAAAAAGAATCATTTTGGATTTTTGAGTTATGAAGTTTGGCACCAGGAGGTTTGAATAAGGATTTTGATTTATCATGTTTTATTAGTGATATTTAGAATACAGTATTTTAATTGTTCATGGCTTCATGATTTCTGGAGCTTGTCATATGTGAGGAATTCTTCATTTTAAGGAATAGGGCTTGATGTTGTTTGAGGTGAAAACATTTTCACATATTTTTTATATTTTAATTTCTATATATATTTTTTTATTATATTATTTTTTTGTTTTATTTTCATTTTGCATTTATTTTATTTTTTTTTATTTATTATTTTTTATTTTTATTGTCATTTTTATTTTTAAATATAAAAAAAATTGTAATATTATTTTGTTTAATTTTTATTATTTTTGTTTATTATTTTTATTATTATTATATTTTTTATTTTTATATTTATTTATATTTAATCTTATTTTTATTTATTTATTTTTATTTATATTTTTTATTTTTATTTTTGATTATTTTTCATTTATTTTATTTTTATATTTATTTTTATATGTTTATAAATTTATTTGTATTTTTATTTCCATTCAATCACTACGTTAATGATTTAATATTATTTTTATGTTAATATATTTTTTTATATATATATGTATAAACATGATATTTTTATATATATAATAAAATATGTAAGGATCCATAGTATTTAGGAAGGATCGTTCAGGCCTTTGTAGTCCGCGGAGTCATGATACAATTTATTCTTCCGAGATGAGTATAATTAAAATTGCAACTGTGTCAATAGAGAGGAGAGATTATGCGCTCATTGACCCCAAAAGTATGGCCGCCTCCTATCTATCTTCAGGAAAATGGCGGAGGTAACATATATAAGCTAGTATTAGAGGAGTGACTGTCCTATCACAACCCCCTGATGAAGCCACGTGACCGGTGGCGTAACGCGTAGGGGTGGGGCTACGAAGTCACTCGGAAGGAATCGGATCATTCGGCAGACGGCAAGTACATGACTCGGCGGCCGGCAAGAGGCTTTATGATTTAAGAGTGCAATTTTTGATGATTTTAAATGTTAGTGCATTACCCGGATGGTGGGAATAAAAATGTTTTAAAGGATAAAGCACTATGTCATTATTTTCCTTTTACATGCGGAGAAACATCTAAAGAGGATAAATAGGTGGTTTATCACAGCTGAAGGAGGGATGAATCCCTGCAGGGATAGCTAACCCATAGAGGATATCTGCATTTATCTAAAGGGAAGGACCCTTCAAATCTACCCATTTAGAGCTAAATTCTGGCAGGTTCCAAGGAAGGTGAATCACAAGCGTGTATAGCCCAGTGGTCGGCAAGCCGCGGCTCGTGAGCCACATGCGGCTCTTTACCCACTCTAATGCGGCTCTTCTGTGTGCCGGGCGCCCGCTCCCCTCCCTCCTCTCGGTCGGCCGCTCCCCTGCCTCCTCTCGGTTGGCAGCCCCAAAAGTCCGCGCGGACCTTTTAATCCGGCCCGCGGATGTGGCTGTCAGGATGTGTGTAGGCGGGGCAGCGTGCCGAACGTGAGGGGAGGGGAGCTAGGCTCCTCTCACAGTCCGCCCTGAAGACCCGAACGGCGCGGAAGACAGCGAGAGGAACGCAAAAGGTAAGTAAATTGACACGGGGGACTTGGCTTACTAGAAGGGGGGGATAGTACTGTGGGGGATGAAATATTATATGAGGGATGAAATACTATATGAGGGATGAAATACTTTATGAGGGATGAAATACTATATGGGGGATGAAATACTATATGGGGGGATGAAATACTATATGGGGGGATGAAATACTATATGGGGGATGAATTACTATATGGGGGATGAATTACTATATGGGGGATGAATTACTATATGAGGGATGAAATACTATATGAGGGATGAAATACTTTATGAGGGATGAAATACTATATGAGGGATGAAATACTATATGGGGGGATGAAATACTATATGCGGGATGAAATACTATATGGGGGGATGAAATACTATATGAGGGATGAAATACTATATGGGGGGATGAAATACTATATGGGGGGATGAAATACTATATGGGGGGATGAAATACTATATGAGGGATGAAATACTATATGAGGGATGAATTACTATATGAGGGATGAAATACTATATGAGGGATGAATTACTATATGGGGGGGATGAAATACTATATGAGGGATGAAATACTATATGGGGGGGATGAAATACTTTATGAGGGATGAAATACTATATGGGGGGATGAAATACTATATGAGGGATGAAATACTATATGGGGGATGAAATACTATATGAGGGATGAAATACTATATGAGGGATGAATTACTATATGAGGGATGAATTACTATATGAGGGATGAAATACTATATGAGGGATGAATTACTATATGGGGGGATGAAATACTATATGAGGGATGAAATACTATATGGGGGGATGAAATACTATATGAGGGGATGAAATACTATATGAGGGATGAAATACTATATGAGGGATGAATTACTATATGGGGGATGAAATACTATATGGGGGATGAAATACTATATGAGGGATGAAATACTATACGGGGGATGAAATACTATACGGGGGATGAAATACTATACGAGGGAAGAAATACTATACGGGGGATGAATTGCTATGGGGGATGAATTACTATATGGGGGATGAATTACTATGGGGGATGAATTACTATATGGGGGATGAATTACTATGGGGGATGAATTACTATATGGGGGATGAATTACTATATGGAGGATGAATTACTATATGGGGGATGAATTACTATGGGGGATGAATTACGATGGGGGATGAATTACTATATGGGGGATGAATTACACTATGGGGGATGAATTACTATATGGGGGATGAATTACTATGGGGGATGAATTACTATATGGGAGATGTATTTTCAGTTTTAAAAATGTGGCTCTCAAAATAAATTTCAATCATGGTTTTGGCGAGATTTGGCTGAGTTGAAAAAAAAAGGTTGCCCACCACTGGTATAGCCTAATTGTAGGCAACAAAGGAGGTGAGTATACATCTTCACTAATTGGAGGATTCACAAAAAGTCACAAATTGAAGAGCAATTATCACCAAGTCACTATTATTGGACTTTTATTTTTATTGATGGGACTATTAATTATACTAAATTGATTTGATGATTCACTAATTTTTTAAATTGGTTATATATTTATAATATTGTTTTTAAGTGGAATCAAAAAATTTTTTTTGTTATTTAGGTGAAATATTTTAGCTACTGGGGGATCTTCTCCCCTCTCGCTGTCACAATTTAAACAAAATGTGGCTGCGTGGGGCTCCGCCCGCCTTGCTGCATCATTCATTCACAGCGTTCTGTGAATGGGAAAACTACAAGTCCCAGCAGCCTTGCGGCTGTCGGCTTGTAGTTTTCAATTAACTAACACAGCGCTCCACAGCAACGTGTAGTTCTTTGAGCCTTCCTGTTAGTAAGTATCCACTTGCCCATATGGGATGTACGAGCAATCAGATATACTGACAGGTCAAGGGGAGACCTGCATGGCACCAGTGATCTACAGATCACTGCTGCAATGCTTTAGATCAGGGGTGTCAAACTGGTGACCCTCCAGCTGTTGCGAAACTACAAGTCCCATGATACATCTACCTTTGGGAGTCATGCTTGTAATTGTCAATCTTGCAATGCCTCATGGGACTTGTAGTTTGGCAACAGCTGGAGGGCCACCAGTTTTACACCCGTGCTATAGAGACTGCATAAACAAAAAAATACTAAATGCTAATTTTTTTACTTGCAAAAAAAATGTGCATTTATTATATTTTGTTAAAAGGCGAACTTATCCTTTAAAGTGACATTAAATGATATCCTTATTCTCCAAAAAGAATCCATATATATTCACACCATAATGGCCAGGTAATTTATTTTTCATGAAGTTATTGCTTAATGTGTTTTTCTGCTTACATATAATATCTTCCCTGAGCTCCTGTTTGTTTTGGAATGAGCAGTGCAGGTTAGTTGTGGTCATGTCCACTGTTCTATGCACGGTGCACATCCCATAATCCATAGTCCCTAGTCCAATTTCGGAGCGAGCAGGAGAGGGTGGCTATGTTCCTACAAACAGTGGGACCATGAAGTACAAATGTATCCACCTTCTAACACCAAGTCAGATCACAGCAGCGAAAAAAAAAAAAAGAAAGAATTTTGAGATAGTTGAGAGCAATAGAAGGTACTTTTTTGAGTTAAGAATAAATACTTGAATATAATTTTTTTTTTTAAATCAAAGTTTATTATCACTGATCTCCAGCAAACAGCTAAATGCAGAGCTGACATACATATACAGGAGATGTCAAAGAATTTACACAAGCAGAGCAAAGCTGGAGACCTAAACTTACTCCTCTGCAGTTAAAGTGTTACTAAACCCACAACTGTGAAATCAGTCTGTATATGCAGTAAAGAATGGTTGGTATACTCACTGTGGAACCTAAGGGGTTAATCCTCTGCATTGTGTAAAAAGGATCTCTGATCCTCCCCATATTCTACTGTCCCCAATCCATCTGCTGATAGAACAGAGCCTTGGGGGCAATCTGCACATGTTCAGTTGGGTGTGTAATGCTAGAGAGTTTTCTTTCTTGGGAGTGCATCTGATCAGAACAGGGCCAATCAGCACTGTCCAGACAGAGGATCAGGAGTTCTGCAGCCTTTTAGGACAATCAGGAAAGAATGAAAACTCCTAAAAGTTTTAACCAATGCTCTGTTGGATACTGATAGAAGTCACAAGACTGCTTTAACTGCTGATGAGAAAAGGTATTTAGCAGTTTATATTTACTAAAATAATTGCATTTCCATGTTGTGTGTACTGTGGGAGATCAGATATAGTGAATGCAGGGTCCTGGGAGACCAGATATAGTGAATGCAGGGTCTGGGGGAGTCCAGATATAGTGAATGCAGGGTCCTGGGAGACCAGATATAGTGAATGCAGGGTCCTGGGAACCCAGATATAGTGAATGCAGCGTCCGGGGGAGACCAGATATAGTGAATGCAGGGTCCGGGGAGACCAGATATAGTGAATGCAGGGTCCTGGGAGACCAGATATAGTGAATGCAGGGTCAGGAGGAGACCAGATATAGTGAATGCAAGGTCCTGGGAGACCAGATATAGTGAATGCAGGGTCCTGGGAGACCAGATATAGTGAATGCAGGGTCAGGAGGAGACCAGATATAGTGAATGCAGGGTCCTGGGAGACCAGATATAGTGAATGCAGGGTCCTGGGAGACCAGATATAGTGAATGCAGGGTCCTGGGAGACCAGATATAGTGAATGCAGGGCCCTGGGAGACCAGATATAGTGAATGCAGGGCCCGGGGAGACCAGATATAGTGAATGCAGGGTCCGGGGAGACCAGATATAGTGAATGCAGGTCCTGGGAGACCAGATATAGTGAATGCAGGGCCCTGGGAGACCAGATATAGTGAATGCAGGGCCCTGGGAGACCAGATATAGTGAATGCATGGTCCTGGGAAACCAGATATAGTGAATGCAGGGTCCTGGGAGACCAGATATAGTGAATGCAGGGTCAGGAGGAGACCAGATATAGTGAATGCAGGGTCCGGGGAGACCAGATATAGTGAATGCAGGGTCCTGGGAGACCAGATATAGTGAATGCAGGGTCCGGGGAGACCAGATATAGTGAATGCAGGGTCCGGGGAGACCAGATATAGTGAATGCAGGGTCCGGGGAGACCAGATATAGTGAATGCAGGGTCCTGGGAGACCAAATATAGTGAATGCAGGGTCCTGGGTTTAGTAACACTTTAAGCCAAACAGCAGGTAACACCTCTACTCCCGGATTTCTCACTGGGCAGTGAGTGAACAGCAGCAAACTGATGAGTCCTCTCCATGCTCAGTGTGCTGCTTCCTATCACACTGAAAAACTGCACACCCGATTGGCAGGGAGTTACAAAAGGCTGCTATTAAATCAAATTCAAGTATACACTAACTGAATGAAGAATATGTTTCACTATCTTCAATTCACACATGACTAAATTAGTTGCTGTTTCCATGATATCTTTCTAGACTTCAGCTTGAAAGTACATCTGACATGATAGACGCATGAGTCATAAGTATGCTGCAAAGTTGAGGAAAAGTCAGAATTCCTCATCTTTATACTTGTTATACATCAGTAACTTTATGTACTAAAGCTGTAGTATGATAGCCAGGAAATTAACATTCTTAGAAATAGAGGTTAGCTGTAATTTTCGATATGACTTTTGCTATTGCTATTGGGATGCTATTTTCCCAATGTTGCTCTTCTTGCAATCGTATTAACCACCTCCTGACCACGCCATGGCTGAATGATGGCCACAGAATGGATTTCTAGTTCTGTGAGGGCTTGCTCAGTGACTGCTGTGTCCTTAGGACACAGCTGATCACAGATTGAGGTAAAGGGCCAAACACAGCGGCCCTTTACTATGTGATCAGCTGTGTCAAATCACAGCCGATCCTATGTAAAGAAATGCTGGCTATCGGCATTTCCTTTCCTCAACGCAGCCACTGTGTGAGGAAAGGAAAGCCAGCAATCCTGTGACAGCACAAATTTATCATGATAATCAGGGCACAGATCATCAGTGCCCTGATTATCAGTGCAGACCCATCCATGCCAATTAGTGCCCATCCGTGCAGCATATTAGTGTCCATCCGTGCAGCATATTAGTGTCCATCAGTGCAGCATAACAGTGTTCATCAGTGCAGCCTCATCAGTGTTCATCAGTGCAGCCTCATCAGTGTTCATCAGTGCAGCCTCATCAGTGCCCATCAATTCAATCTCATCAGTGCCCATCAGTGCAGCCTCATCACCACACATCAAAAGAAGAAAATGTACTTATTTGCAAAAGTTTAGAACAGAAACTAAGAAAAATAGTTTTTTTCCCAAACTTTTGGGATTTTTTTCATACCACCAAAACAAATCTCTACCTGTCTAAAAAAAAAAGATACAAATTTGACATGGATACAGTGTTTCATGACCGCGCAATTGTCATTCAAAGTGCAACAGCTCTGAAAGCTAAAAATTGGCCTGGGCAGAAAGGGGGGTGAAAGTGCCCAGTATTGAAGTGGTCAGTACAGAGGTTTGTAGTCACTAGAAGTAGAGCTAATTGAATAGAAGCAGGATTTGTGTATGTAATACATTTTGCTGTCCTGTGTACAGTACAAATACTGTACAATGGCAAATTAGATTAAAACTTATGAAAAAATTATTTACATCAAATTGATTTAAATACTGATAATGTGCACACACATTGATCCGGCCCTATTGCTGTTCTGAGAAAATACAGGCATCTTCTTTCTGCAATTGAGGAAAATGAACACTTGCCTCTCTTGCATTCAGCAGTCTTGATGAGCTCCAAGGCACTGCTGCTTTTGGACACTTCTGGACATGTGTTCCCTGCTGGGCGCGACCCCATGGTTTTGTCTGCGAGTCTGGCACCTTTATCTCGCTAATCTTTGGATTTACAGATGCTTCTGACATGCCATTTTCCACCTAGTACTCCCTCTGCTTATGTTTCTTTTCAGCTTATACTCAGAATGTAAAATTCCCAGATTTATAGCAGCACAGAAATAGCAAAGAAAAGGCAACTCTAAGGCTCCATGTACACGAGCCTACCCTGACCGTAGGCCACGGGAAAACGCAAATCATGGGAAAACCACGGCAAAACGCAACTACGGTACCGCGATTTTGCGTTTTCCCACGGTCGGTGGTCAAAACATTCCTGTCCTGAACACGATTCTTCACCTAAACATGGCAGCTCCTAAACTCTCTGCTAAAAGCCTATGTGTATATGGACACATAGGCTTTTATGGAGTTGAGTTTAGGAGCTTTGCCAAAAAAATGGCAAAAGCTCCTAAACTCGAGTTTAGGAGATGCTCGTGTACATGAAGCTTAAGAGTATCAGAAGCAAATGCATGATCTTATTAGCAATCCAAAAAACATGCTCCCCTGAAATTATATCTCATCACTTTCCTCTGTTGCTGCATCTTTGCTTTTCTGTTGTGTGAAAAAGTGTATCTTCCTACAAATTTGATCTGTTGATAGAAGGGTGTACTCCTCTAAGCGTATCTTGATGGATCTCTGAAGGTCCACAATAATAGAAGGATTCACCTGATAACGTTGCCAGGCTATATAGATGTACCACAACAAATGATGTACTTAGAGCCCACACTTAGAAGTATTTGGTCTAAGGTGGTGCTATATCCAAAGAACCTCATCAACCTTGACGATGTGGAGAACTGTTGCGTTTAGTGGTACTGATATAGCAGTTAGGCTGCTTCCAAACCAGGGGTTCCCTCTATTCAGTGGGGGGCCTTGGGTGAAAATTTGAGGAGAAGATGAAAAAGAGCACCAAGAGAATAAACTGATAAGGTGGTTAGATGCAAATAACCATGCCAACATATTTCTTCGGTGCCAAAATCTGCCTATAGGGTTTGGATTAATGAGTGATTGGCTCAGCAGTAGAAAGAACAGATACTTTAGCAAACTTTTAGTGCATATCTCTAATTTTGTTAATATTGTCTCAAACAAGTGAAATGTCAAGGCAGCAATCCAGTGCATAGAATCTTTTAGATCCTGATCAATAAAGTAAAATTGACGTTACTATGTAAACAACAACCACTTTTATTTCTCATCTCCTCTTCCTTCATGAGATTTCTCAATTTGTAGCCACAGACATCTATATTATATTTTATTTTATTTATATATATACAGTCATGGCCGAAATTGTTGGCACCCTTGATATTTCTCCAGGAAATCATGTATTTCTCACGAAACGTATTGCATTAACACATGTTTTGCTATACACATGTTTATTCCCTTTGTGTGTATTGGGACAAAACAAAAAAAGGGAGGAAAGAAAGCAAATTCGACATAATGTCACACAAACCTCCAAAAATGGGCTGGACAAAAGTATTGGCACCCTTTCACAACTGCGGATAAATAAGAATGTTACAAGCATGTGATGCTCCTGTAAACTCACCTGGGGCAAGTAACAGGTGTGGGCAATATAGAAATCACACCTGAAAGCAGATAAAAAGGAGAGACGTTCACTTAACCTTTGCATTGTGTGTCTGTCTGTGCCACACTAAGCATGGACAACAGAAAGAGGAGACGAGAACTGTCTGAGGACCTGAGAACCAAAATTGTGGCAAAATATCAACAACATCTCAAGGTTACAAGTCCATCTCCAGAGAACTAGATTTGCCTTTGTCCACAGTGCGCAACATTATCAAGAAGTTTGCAACCCATGGCACTGTAGCTAATCTCCCTGGTCGTGGACGGATGAGGAAAATTGATGAAAGATTGCAACGCAGAATAGTCCGGATGGTGGATAAGCAGCCCCAAACATGTTCCAAAGACATTCAAGCTGTCCTGCAGGCTCAGGGAGCATCAGTGTCAGCGCGAACTATCCGTCGACATTTAAATGAAATGAAACGCTATGGCAGGAGACCCAGGAGGACCCCACTGCTGACACAGAGACATAAAAAAGCAAGACTACAGTTTGCCAAAATGTACTTGAGTAAGCCAAAAGCCTTCTGGGAAAACGTCTTGTGGACAGATGAGACCAAGATAGAGCTTTTCGGTAAAGCACATCATTCTACTGTTTACCGAAAACGGAATGAGGCCTACAAAGAACAAAACACAGTACCTACGGTAAAATATGGTGGAGGTTCAATGATGTTTTGGGGTTGTTTTGCTGCCTCTGGCACTGGGTGCCTTGACTGTGTGCAAGGCATCATGAAATCTGAGGATTACCAAAGGATTTTGGGTCGCACTGTAGGGCCCAGTGTCAGAAAGCTGGGTTTGCGTCCAAGATCCGGGTCTTCCAGCAGGACAATGACCCCAAACATACGTCAAAAAGCACTCAGAAATGGATGGCAAAGAAGCGCTGGAGAGTTCTGAAGTGGCCAGCAATGAGCCCAGATCTAAATCCCATTGAACACCTGTGGAGAGATCTTAAAATTGCTGTTGGGAAAAGTGTGTCCTTCCAATAAGAGAGACCTGGAGCTGTTTGCAAAGGAAGAGTGGTCCAAAATTCCGGGTGAGAGGTGTCAGAAGCTTATTGATGGTTATAGGAAGCGACTGATTTCAGTTATGTTTTCCAAAGGGTGTGCAACCAAATATTAAGTTAAGGGTGCCAATACTTTTGTCCAGCCCATTTTTGGGGTTTTGTGTGACATTATGTCATATTTGCTTTTCTGCCTCTGTTTTATATTTGTTCCAATACATACAAAGGGAATAAACATGTGTATAGCAAAACATGTGTTAATGCAATACCTTTTTTGTGTGAAATACTTGATTTTCAGGAAAAATATCAAGGGTGCCAACAATTTCGGCCATGACTGTATATATTTATATATACTCTTCTAATTCATCTCCAACCTGTTATATTTTAGGTAAAGCTGTAAGACACACAGCTCAGACTTTCTTTAGTATTGCTAATGGGGTGCGAAAAGGAATCCCGAAAGTCATGGTGGTATTTATAGATGGATGGCCCTCTGACAACATCGAAGAAGCTGGTATAATAGCTCGGGAATATGGCATCAATGTCTTCATTGTGTCAGTGGCACCTCCCAGCCCCGAAGAACTTGGAATGGTGCAGGATGTGGCATTCATAGACAAAGTGAGTAGTAGAGCTCTCAAAAGCAGAAATAACGTTCTAACACAATAATTTACACACCTACTTATATGTACATTACTATGACACAGTGTTTTCTTTTGCATCTATTAAGGTCACTTTGCAGTAAAGCAAGGAAGCTTAGAAACCTCTTTAGTGTATTAATGTTCTTTCACTAAACAAGTTGCTGCACATACAAACTATTACAATTATAGGAATATAGTACAAGGCTGACAGATATTACAAAATATGCCTATAGCATGCACAAGCTATCCATCCTTCCCAACAACTAAGCATGTACGTTGACTCCCTCAAGAGTTGGTTCTGGCCAGCTCAGTGGATTGCTTCAAAAGAGGCCTGGATTGTTTCTTAGATGCACAGAATATAACTGGATACTAACATTTATAGGTAAAGTTGATCCAGGGAATATCTGATTGCCTCTCGGGGGATCAGGAATTTTTTCCCTGCAGGAGCAAATTGGATCGTGCTTTTCTGGGTTTTTGTCAGGTGTGGTAGGTGAACAGCCCGCCGAATGCCCTTACTGTTCATGTGTTCGGTGAACACACAAAGGACCGATGTTTGAGTTGAACTAATGTTTGACTCAAACATACAGTCCATCACTACAGAACAGACAGGGCTCTCTGCATCTACCCCAACACAAGGCTCTGGTGCTATCTCAACAAAGAGACTAGAAAGGGATATGATACAAATTATTGCTCGGTGTAGTGCTCTGAGAAAGAATGTGCAGAAAGTGAAAATGCACATGCATGTAGACAGGAAGTGGCTGCAAAGAAGCTGGAAGAGATCAGTTTTTTTGCTGATGTGCAACAAAAGATACTAAAAGGGGAAAATTGTATCCTACTGAAAGGCAAAAGAAATTGTTTCTGATGTACAGTCCTGGCTACTTTCTACCAATTGCCCTGATCCCTATGTAATGGAGTTGAGATACTGACATGTTTGTAGTCCATATCAGGAAGGCAGCCTAGGGTGACTACTATGCTTCCTTAGACACAATTAGGAGTGACATAGCTACCCAGGGACAGGAAATGTGATATCTGCGGGATAGGTAGGTGAAAATTAAAGCAAAAGAAACGTGAAAAATGCAGCAATGAATAGTAAGCTGTAATATATATTTTTGGTTTTGGATTTAGATACTCTATAGGCAAAGTAAATTTTATTTGGTGAGGGTTTACTGGGTTTGCTTTAGATATACTATAAAACAAATTTGGTATAGTATCATGCAAGTTTGGACTTTTATGTAAAAAGATCGCCTTATGTTTTTTATTTCAGGCTGTCTGCAAGAACAACAGCTTTTTCTCCTTCCACATGCCGAGCTGGTTTGGCACCACTAAGTACACAAAGCCTCTGGTACAAAAGCTATGTACACACGAGCAGCTTCTCTGCAGCAAGACCTGCTACAACTCAGTCAACATTGCATTCCTGATTGACGGCTCCAGTAGTATCGGGGATCAAAACTTCCGAATCATGCTGGATTTCATAACCAACGTTGTGCGAGCATTTGAAGTGTCTGATGTTGGTGCAAAAGTAGCTGCTGTACAGTTCACCTATGATCAGCGTTTAGAGTTTGGCCTGAATGACTATGCCACCAAGGAGGATGTCCTGCGTGCCATTTACAACATCCCTTATATGAGTGGTGGCACTGCTACCGGAGATGCCATCAATTTTGTTTTGCGCAGTGTTTTCCAACCAACCAGGGATGGGCACAACAAAAACTTCCTAGTCCTCATCACCGATGGTCAGTCTTATGATGATGTCAGGGGGCCAGCTCTTGCAGCACACAGAGAAGGTAAAGAAAATGTATATTGTGATTATTCCTGAACATTTATTGAAAGCAGAGGTGTAGCTGTCAGGTATAACAGTGGGCAGTATGTGTAGAAGAGGCATGTGGAGGGTATGAGAGTGGGGAGCATGTATAAAGATGGAATGTGGAGGTTATGACAACACATAGTATGTACAAGAAAAAAAGTAAGAAGAGTATGACATTGGGCAATATGTACAGGAGATGAGTGAGGAGGGTATGACAGTGGGTAGTATGTACAGGAGAAGAGTGAGGAGGGTATGACAGTGGGCAGTATGTACAGGAGATGAGTGGGGAGGGTATGACAGTGAGCAGTATGTACAGGAGAAGAGTGAAGAGGGTATGACAGTGGGCAGTATGTACAGGAGAAGAGTGAAGAAGGTATGACAGTGGGCAGTATGTACAGGAGAAGAGTGAAGAAGGTATGACAGTGGGCAGTATGTACAGGAGAAGAGTGAAGAAGGTATGACAGTGGGCAGTATGTACAGGAGAAGAGTGAGGTGGGCATGACAGAGGGCAGTATGTACAGGAGAAGAGTGAGGAGGGTGTGACAGTGGGCAATATGTACAGGAGAAGAGTGAGGAGGGTGTGACAGTGGGCAGTATGTACAGGAGAAGAGTGAGGAATGTATGACAGTGGGCAGTATGTACAGGAGAAGAGTGAGGAGGGTATGACAGTGGGCAGTATGTACAGGAGAAGAGTGAAGAGGGTATGACAGTGGGCAGTATGTACAGGAGAAGAGTGAAGAGGGTATGACAGTGGGCAGTATGTACAGGAGAAGAGTGAAGAGGGTATGACAGTGGGCAGTATGTAGAGGAGAAGAGTGAGGAAGGTATGACAGTGGGCAGTATGTACAGAAGAGTGAGGAGGGTATGATAGTTGGCAGTATGTACAGGAGAAGAGTGAAAAGGGTATGACAGTTGGCAGTATAAGCAGGAAAGGAATGAGGAGGGCATGAAAGTGGGCACTATGTGCTGGAGAGGAGTGTAGAGGATGGGGAGAGTATGTTAGTGAGCAGTATGTTCAGGAAAGGAGTCTAGATGGTATGAGACTGGGCAGTATACACAGAGGAGAAGTGCAGGAGAGAGGTGAAGAGGGTATGATCGCAGGCTGTTTGTGTAGGAGAGTGCTGGGCAAGGACTGGAAAGCGTAGATAGGATACCTGTTTTAATTACTTTGTAATTTCAGAGGGGAGAAGACGGTAAACACAGCAACATGCAGAAACAAAGTGCATATGAGTGTGTTTCTGGTTTTAGCCAGCTTTTAATTTCAGAAGAAATTGGATAAAATAGAATAGACTAATGTTTACATAGATTAAGCGTAATTACAATTGGTTGGATCTCTGCAGCAAGGTTTAACTATTCCTCTGTGTGTCAAATTGGATGCCTATAACAAGCAACAACAAGAATATGTGTTTTAGCATTCGGGTAAAATAGAGAAAAATGCACTGTTTTTTGTACACCAATTCTTAACTGGTAAAGTTCCCCAAAAACAGCAGATCAATCAGATGCAGTTTACTACTCCCATTCCTAATATAGGGTCAGTGATCATAAAAATTGTAAAAAGCTTCCCTGTCACATATCACCTAACACAATATCGGTAGAAAAAAAAAAAACAAAATAGAAAAAAAAAAAATTATTACCGTAACCTAGGTGGTTTTGAATAATATAGTACAAAAAGCAGCACTGTACACCATGCAATAACAAACAGTTATACATCAGATCCAATAGATCTTACAGCTCCAATTTCTTGATATATGATCAGTTATTATGGGAAGATGCTTATTTCTGATCATTGCAATGTGTTTGTAACAAGCCAAGTCTATTAATCTGCGTAGTATGAAATCACAGTCAGTTATGTCGTTAAAAGATCATTGAACATCAATCAGCGCATTTTATCTTTCTCTTTGCTTTCTAAGAATTTATAGCCTTAAAACATCAGGGTGTATGGATCCCCCTACTGGCTAAACCAGGAACAGAATGTGCTAGTGGGAATGTATTTTTTATTTGCATATTATTTCTTTGTGTGTTCTGTTAATATGGTAGTAAACTCGTTTTTTAAATTTTACCTACAGGTAAGCTTATAAAAAAGTTTACTTGTAGGTTAAATGAATATCTCCTAAACGTGCGCCATTTAGGAGATGTTCTCTTTTTTAAATCGGGCGCATGTGCTCTGAAGGAACAGCTCGGGCATGCCTTTCCTTCAGAGCTGTGTGCCGTGGCCTGGGACTCCCGTATGCATGTGCGGGACTGACATCATCGTGGCCTGACCTGTCAGATGGCCGGAGCTCGCGAACCCTGTAGGAAGACCAGGTGAAGATGGACGCCTCTGCAGCAGTGCCAGTGCGCCGCTGGAGGGCTTTGTTTTAAGGTAAGTTTTACATAATGTGCTAGTATGTGATGCATGACATTACTTTGCAGGGGACTTTTTTTTCCTGCGGTTTACTACGATTTTAAGGGTAAAAACAAAAGTTTAAAATTTCTTTATAGATAGGTAATCATGGCACATAAATAGTAAATATTTACAATTTCCAGCCAACAGGTTGTGCATTAGGATGGCCATACAGTATACAATTTTCTTACAATTTCTTCCCAATTTCCTTTAGATTGACCTTTAACTATGTAGTGCAAGGGCCTGTCTAATTGGATACAATTGAAAGTGTTGTTTAGGTTTGACCTCATATTATATGGTTATTGGTAAATCTAAAGCAAAAATCTCAAGAAAATGTTATAATGTAAGGTCAGCCTAAAGCTTTATTTATACAAGCATATTGATCTGTACACTCATTCAAAGGGCCATCTTGGCCTGCATGGGAAGCACAGGAGTCCCAGACAGCGTTCTGAACTGTGCATCAGATTTGCACCTGATGATCCATGCAGGTCCATGCAGTTGGCCACCTGTCATTGATTTGAACAGGCTGCCTGGAACAGCCGTGTGTATGCCTATGTGAATAAAGCCTTAGGCTGGTACTTCAGGAATTAAATTACCTGTTTACTGCTGGAACACACATCCACAAAACACACACACATATATACATACCTACCTCTTAGTGTAGATCAGCCAAAAAATGCTTAAAGCGGTGGTTTCCACCTTTCACAGTGGTTCTTCAGCCTCAGGTATGGTATATGGTTACTTACATTAATCCAAGCTGAACCAATGTAACCTGGAGTTCACCAAAGCCTTCCAGTTCGGTGGGGGTTAATAGAACTTAGGAATCAGTAATATACACCCATCAAGAGTGCTCACCCTTTCCAACCCCCTTCCATTCATAGGAACTGTACTATAGCTGCTATGACTGAAAAATAATCTATGAACGGAGGATGGGTGGATGATTGAAAGGTCTGCCTTCTCCATTCATAGAAGCTATAGTATGGCTTCTATAAATGAAGGAGGGGGAAGGAAAGGGCAGGCATAGTCGTCCCTCTTGATAAGTGCCTGTCACAGCTCCATTGTCTCTCAACCTCTGCCACACTGGAAGATTATAGTGGCCAGGGGCATCAGAGGAGGAAGAAGGAAGAATTCAACTAAAGCAGGGGCCTGTAGCACAAGGGGCACATCACATTCTTTTTAACTAAATCTAGGCTTTTAAATAATTTCCAGGCTTCTGCATTGGCGGGTGCTCTGGTGCATCTGACTATGCAGTCCTGCATATTGGGAGCCCATATCTCGGGAGTTCAGACTGAGGTTATGAGGCTAATCCACACCATTTGTATATCCACCCTATGGGCTATTGCCCTACACTGGAAATCTCTCACAGTACCATTGGCCTCTGTTCTGCATAGAGTTGATGCTGTGATGCTCATGGAGAGAATTCATTACACTTTACTGGACAAGATGCACTTATTTAATAGAAAATGGGAAATTTGGAGAACTCATAGACATTTACTACATGACTAAGGAACACCCATCTTTGGATTGATTGAATTACTCTGTCGGTAGCTGTATAATTCTGCCTACCTCTCTATATTGCTCATGTACTTAACTTCTTTTCTTTCTTTTTCTCTTCTCTTCTCTTTTTCTTTACTCTACATGATTGTACTTTCTGAAATGTACATTTCAGTTGTGCCTTGTTTCTGTTTTACATACTGTTTGAAGCTCTAATGTCACTTTACAGTCTATTTCTTAAAAAATAAAATCATTTGTAAACAAAAAAGAAAAAATAATTTCCAGGCACACATTTCTGAAGAGTTGCATAGAAGCAACTACAGCCTCGGGGACAATAAAAAAAATTATACTTTCTTTATGGTATGCATTATTGTTTAAGGTAGATCTCCCGCCAATAATAAGATAAAAATGAATAGCCTATTAAAGATTTTTTTTAAATCTGCTTTCCTTGCAATATTCATCACTGCTGACTCTGGTTCCTTCTTGCTCCTCTGACTGTGGGGCAGAAAAGCATGTGGTTGGTTGCTAAGGACGTTGGGCAACCAACCACTAGAACTGTCAGCAGTAGCGACGGGCAGGAGGTGGGCCGAACAGAGCAAGCAGTGATGATAAAAAATAAAATACATCTCCAGGCAGCAAGGACAGTGCCGGTAATGGACATTTACTGGCAGTTGACAACACTGCCCAGGCCGCATGCTGAACTATTACGAGCTGCATGCGCCCTTCGGGTCATGAGTTGGACACCCCTGCTCTATCCCTTCTCTACAGGGACTGAAGGAGGCTGGTACCAAGTCATCCTATGCCAACACTGCTTACATTTTCCAGTTATAATATAAGGACTATACAACAACTGGAATGCTAGATACATAGAAGTCACATCAAAAACCTTCCTTACTACCAGAAATGCACCTTTTTGATGGGTTTGCTACCTAGCTTTCTCCTGTATTTCCCCTGCTTCCTGTAACCGCTGTGAGCATTTTCAGCACCTTTCCCAAGGCTTCAAACATGATGCACATATGGCTTATTAGAACTACAGATGCCACGTTACCTTGTGGCAGTAATCAGTGTGCTTACTGACCGCTGTCAAATTTGGGATAGGAGAG